CTGCTGCAGCCCTGGAGCGAGCTGTGGGCAAGTCAAGGGCCCCCAAAGGGACGCTTGCCTGCCTGTACACAAACGCCAGGAGCTTGGGGAATAAACAGGAGGAACTTGTCCTCCTATTTAACCCAAATAACTATGATGTCATAGGGATAACAGAGACCTGGTGGGACTCCACCCATGACTGGACCACAGGTATAGACAGCTATACCCTGTACAGGAGGGATCGAGTGGACAAAAGGGGCGGGGGTATAGCTCTCTATGTCAAGGAAAGCTACGCGTCCCTGCAAGCCGACATGGGCGCCGAGGGTAGACGACTGGAGAGACCCTCTGGGTCAAAATCCATGGGGAACACAGAGCAGGGGACACAATGGTGGGAGTCTACTACAGACCTCCTACCCAGGATCGAGTGCTTGACCAAGAGTTTGACAGTGAATTGGCTGAGGCCGCACGCTCCTGGTGTATGGTTGTCACGAGAGACTTTAATTACTGGACATCTCATGGGGAGAGCTCTTGGCCAAATCTGAGCAGTCGCAAAGCTTTCTCTCACGCGTGGATGAGCTCTATCTGACACAGGAAGTCTACGGGCCGACGAGAGGTGAAGCGCTGCTCGACCTCGTTCTGGCAATGGGGGATGACCTAATCGGTGACCTAGTGATCGCAGGGAAGCTGGGTAACTGACCACGAGTTGATCACCTTCACCATCCGCCGTAAAGCTGGCAAGTCAGTCAGTAATACAGAAGTCCTTGACTTCAGGAAAGCTGACTTTGCTAAGCTCAGGAGGCTTGTCAGTGAGGCCATAAAGGGCCAGAACCCAAAGGGGAAGGGAGTTTAGGATGAGTGGTTGCTCCTCAAAGGAGCGATCCTGGATGCACAAGCAAAGTCTATCGTGTCTCGGAGGAAAGGCAGCAAAAGGGCACAGCAGCCCCCTTGGCTCTCCAGGGAACTAGTGGACCTCCTGTGGCTAAAAAGAAAGACCTCCAAAGGATGGAAGACTGGATCCGCCTTCAAGGAGGAATATTCTGCACTGGTCCAGACCTGCAGGGAGCGAATCAGGAAAGCCAAGGCTGTGACAGAACTCCAACTAGCTACAAGCATCAAGGACAATAAAAAGTCCTTTTTTAGATATGTGGGGAGCCAGAGGAAAAGCAAGGACAACATTGGACCCCTGCTAAACCAGATGGGACAACTGACAAACGATGCTCAGGAAAAAGCCAACTTGCTAAATGGGTACTTTGCGTTGGTCTTTCACCAGTCCCATGGGATGCCCCTGCCCATTATGGGACAGGGATGCCTGGGTGAGTGTGATTCCTTGCCCTCCATCAATGCTGACCTTGTGAAGGAACACCTTGAGAGGCTGAATACCTTCAAGTTTCATAGAAGCTAGGGTCAGGAGGGGCCTGAACAGATCATCTAGTCTGACCCCCTGCCACAGGCAGGAATGAATGCTGAGTTCACAAGACCCCAGACAGGTGATCGTCCAACCTCCTCTTGACTTTGCCCAAGGTAGGGGCGAGGACCACTTCCCTGGGAAGTTGGTTCCAGATTTTGTCCACCCTAATTGTAAATAATTGCTTTCTGATCTCTCACCTAAACCTATTCACCAGCTTATTGTTCCATGTCACCCTAGGTGGTGCTGGGGAGAAAAGGGCTCTACCTATTTGCTGTTGATCTCCCCTGATGAGTTGGTAGGCAGCCACCAGGTCCCCCCTCAGCCTACTCCTGCTGAGGCTGAACAGGTTCAATTCCCTCAGTCTCTCCTCATAGGGCTTGTCCTGCTGCCCTCTCACCAAGCGGGTGGCCCTCCTCTGAACCCTCTCAAGGCTGGCCACATCCCTTTTGAAGTGCGGCGCCCAGTACTGGACACAGTACTCCAATTGCGACCTGACCAATGTCGCATAGAGGGGGAGTATCACCTCTCTGGACCGGCTTGAGATGCATCTTTGGATGCATGACAAGGTATGGCTGGCCTTGCTGGCTGCGGTCTGGCATTGGCGGCTCATGTTCATCTTGGAGTCAATAATGACTCCAAGGTCCCTTTCGGCCTCTGTGCTTTCAAGAAGGGAACTCCCCAGCCTGTATGTATGCTGTGGATTCCTTCTCCCAAGGTACAGCACCCTGCATTTATCAGCATTTGTCAGCCGGCTCTGACAGTTTACACCCCAGGGTACTCAAGGAGCTGGTAAGCGTCATAGCCCAGCACCTGGCACGGATTTTCAAGAACTCCTGGTGCTCTGGTAAAGTGCCCAAAGACTAGAAGAAAGCCAATGTGGTGCCTATCTTCAAGAAAGGGAGGAAAGCAGATCCGGCAAACTACAGGCCCATCAGCCTGGCCTCTATCCTGGGGCAGGTCTTAGAAAAGATTATCAAAGAGGCCATTTTTAACAGACTGGCTGATGGCAACATCCTGAGGGATAGCCAGCATGGGTTTGTTGCGGGTAAGTCTTGCTTGACCAGTCTTATTTCCTTTGACGACTGGATGACCTGTCACCTGGACAAGAGAGAAGAGATTGATGCCATATATCTTTACTTTAAAAAAGCCTTCAATCTGGTATCCCATGATCACCTCTTGGCAAAACTGGCTAACTGCGGCCTCGGCCTCACAATGCTCCATTGCCTGGGAATTGGTTCTGTGGTAGGACCCAGAGGGTGGTGGCTGACGGAAGTCAATCATCATGGTGCCCTGTGACCAGTGGGGTCCCTCAAGGCTCTGTCCTTGGGCCTACATTATTCAGTGTCTTCATTAATGATGTGGACATTGGTATCAGAAGCGGACTGGCCAAGTTTGCCGACGACACCAAACTTTGGGGTAAAGCGTCCACACCTAAGGACAGGAGGGTGATCTAGGCTGACCTTGACAGGCTCAGGAAATGGGTGGATGAGAACATGATGGTGTTTAACACTGAAAAATGCAAGGTTCTCCACCTTGGGAAGAAAAACCTGCTGGATGCTTATAGGCTCGGCAGTGTTACGCTGGCTAGCACTACGGATGAAAGAGACTTGTGGGGTTCACCACAAGATGAACATGAGCCTTCAGTGTGTTGCTGCAGCTAGTAAAGCAAGCAAAACACTGGCTTGGATCTATAGATGCTTTTCAAGCGAATCCCAGGACGTCATTGTCCCATTGTACTCGACCTTTGTGAGGCCACAGCTGGAGTACTGTGTCCAGTTTTGGGCTCCACAATTCAAAAAGGATTTGGAGAAGCTTGAGAGAATGCAGAGGAGAGCCATGTGCATGATCAGAGGTCAGGAAAACAGCTCTTATGATGAGAGGCTGAGAGCTATGGGACTCCAGCCTGGAAAAGCGCAGGCTCAAGGGTGATCTGGTGGTCACCTATAAGTTTATAAGGGGTGCTCATCAGGATCTGGGGCAATGTATGTTCACCAGAGTACCCCAGGGGATGACAAGGTCAAACGGTCACAAACTCCTCCAGGACCGTTTCAGGCTGGACATAAGGAAGAACTTCTTTACTGTCTGAGCCCCAAGGTTTGGAATAAACTGCCGCTGGAGATGTTTCAAGCACCTACTTTGAATGCTTTCAAGAGACATTTGGATGTTTATCTTGCTGGGATCCTATGATTCCTGCTAACTTCCTGCCCTTTGAGCTGGACTCGGTGATCTTCCGAGGTCCCTTCCAGCCCAATGTCTATGAAATCTATGAAATAATATAAAGATCTTAAAGCAAGTTTCTTAGTATAGTGGGTACTATACAACTGCATTTGGCAAATTGAGTAGGAGAGGTTTGCTTTATTGGTGATCCTGGCATGCAAGAGGTGGGAGCAGGCACTACCAGGCCCCAGGCCTGATCCCAGCACTTTGGGCAGGTGGGGAGTGGAGCTGGACTCCAGGGCTTGATCCGGCCTGTGGACCAGCCCCATGTCGCCCATCTGACCAATGGGGAGCAAAAGCTTGAGCACCAATGATCTAGTCTGTGTCTTGGACCACATGGTCCATTCATAGCATCTACCAAGCAGGCTGTTGCCTACAAGAGCTTATACCTTTCTGAATTAGTCTCTCAGGTGCCACCCTACCCTGCCTTCTACTATGCTTGGTGAAAATCAACTGATGGTAGCTTTAGTTTTAGTGGAAGAGGAATAAGCTGCTGTGGGCTAGCTTTTGTTTACCTTGGGGGAAGAGCCTGGGCATAGTAAATTTCTACAGAGTAGCTATGTAAATCTCTACTCTTGTTTAGCTTGCTGTAAATCAGTTGTGATTGTGCCTTTGAAGTTCCACTGTTTATAGTTGCACATCATTTGAATTTTTTCTGGGTTCTTTAGTTTATACCACTGATACCATTCTTATTTGTTGTAAGGGTAAATAAATGCAAAATTACAATTTGTGTTATAAACTGATTTCTTCATATTGGCAGAGATGTGGAATGTAGAAGGTTTAACCCCCGCCCCCAATCCCTCCTCCTTCCTTGCAGACATACAGGCAGTCTTCGAGTGGCAACATTTTGCACTTGAAATGTTTTTAAAATTGACATCCCGTTTCAACTTTCTGACATCAGTTTTGACTGTACAGCACTTGCTGTGATGTGATGCCACGCCAGTGAACAAGTTTGCTGCATCACCCATCTCCCTGGAGAACATCTGTCCAAACTTCCTTGGACACTTCCTTAAAGAAGGCTGCAGGTTTTTCAGAAGCCCTGTCTGCTAAGACTCCTAAGAAGACTCCAGCCAAGAGCCTTTTTAAAAGTTCAGCAGAGTCACCTCAAAGCAGTTGTTCCCAATCAATATGATTGCTATTTACAATATAAATACATTAATGTAGCTATATTACTCTTTTATAATTGATTTGAGTACAAAATTCGGGGTTATTTTTGGTGAAAATAGGGTATCAGGCCTTGGTTCAGGAACCAATCATGCATTTATAACGTTGTTTCCTATAGGAAAATTGGTTCCCTGTTACAACGTTTCGACTTAAGACGTGGTTTCCAGGAACCAATTGTGTTGTAAGTCCAAGGGACTGCCTGAACTTGGTTATCCTGTCGCAAAGATCAGCAATGTTTGCCAGTGGCAGGTCAGAGTTAGCCAGCTTGGGTCAAAGGCAGGCAGTTGCAAGGAATCATCTATTGTTGTCATCACTGTTTCTCCCTACTGCTGCTGTTTTCTGTAGGCCATCCATGGTACAGCATGCTGAAGTGCCTGGGCACAGCACAAGGTGGTAAACAAGAAACCTGCTGTCAGATAACACAAAACACCTGGTAAATGAACACTACTGGATTCAGTGGACAAGATCTGGCCTGTGGGCAGTAGGTTGTAACGCCCCCTCTCCAGTGGGCATTACAATCTAATAGAGATCACAGAGACGTGGTGGGACTCCTCACGTGATTGGAACGTAGACGTAGATGGCTACACCCTGCACAAAAGGGACAGAGTAGAGAAGAAAGGTGGAGCACTCTGTGAGGGAGCAGTAAATCTCCTTGGAGGCTGACATTGGCTCCAAAGAAGAGTGGTTAGAAACCCTCTGGGTCAAACTACGGGGGGAGGTGAGAGAGACCTAAATGTAGGTGTATACTACAGACCACCAAACTGTCTCAGATGGCTGGAGCCGACTTGAGGTGATCTACAAATTGCTTGGCCGTTGGGCGGGCTGGTGAATGGAGAGGCAGACAAAGCGTATTGGTTGCAAAAAAGCTTTACTTACGCCGCTAGTAGCCGCAACGCAGGTGGTCCAGTTGCTTAAATAATTACACGAGTTGCTCGCTGGCAAGACTCAGGCCAGCGAATCTGTAAACGAACTAGGCATGCAGGAAAAAGGGTACGTCGAGGGATGGCGCTCGGTGACGGGGAGAAAAATCGATAGTTGATCAGGATATCGATTAGCTCAGCCACAAGTCAGGAATCTTCAAAGTCACTCTGCAGCGTGCTCAAAGTTCTCCGACTGGGGCGGAATTCGCACAGAATTTTATACGGCCAGCAAGCCAGTCGCTAGCCGCCACGTAGGAATAAAATTTAGAACTGGTCAATAGTAGGACACAAATTTGCATACGAATGGCGGGAACTCTCTTGCACCGGAGTTTTCTATTGCAACAGAAAACTTTTGCTGTGCACAGAGACTCTCATGTGGCGGGAAAATTCCACCGTGCCGAGGCACTAAAATCATTGGGTTATGACACGAATCAGGGGGAGGAGCTTGATCTGGAATTCTTTCAAAATGGCAGAGGCCATGTGTGCATGGGACATGGTTATCATGGGTGACTTCAATTACCCAGACATCGTTTGGGAGGAACACGTGGCTAAGTCGGATCAGTTGCATTGTTTCCTGACTTGTATTGAAGAGCTCTATCTGACTCAGGAAGTGCGTGGGCCAACCAGAGGTAACATTCTCCTAGACTTGGTCCTGGCCAAAGGAGACAATTTGGTGAGAGACTTGAGAACAACTACTTTGCTTTGGTATTTCACTGGACTAAGAGGAAAATCATGCTAGATGAGGTTCAGAACGGGCATGGTGGGAATGACCGCCTTCCTACTGTTGACGTTGAGCTGGTGCATTATCAATTAGAAAAGTTAGCATTTACAAGTCAGCAGGATGGGATGAACTTCACTCAAGAGTACTGAAGGAACTGGCTGAAGTCATCATGGGACCTCTGATGAAACTCTTCCAAAACTCATGGTGCTTGGGGGAAGTCCGTGAAGACTGGAAGAAGGCAAGTGTTGTGCCCATCTTCAAGAAGGGGAGGAGAGAGGACCTGGGCAATTGTAGGCCAATTAGCCTAACTTCTAAGGGCAAATCCTGGAAAAATTCATTAAGGAGTCTATGTGCAATATGTTTGTAGAAGGTAGGATTCTGAGTGACAGCCAGCATGGCTTTGTTGTGGGCAGGTCTTGTTTTACCAACCTCATCTCCTTCTATGACCAGATAGCTCCCCACCTGGATAAGAGAGAGGAGGTTGATATTGTATACCTAGACTTCCAAAAGGCCTTTGATCTGGTATCCTGTGATGTTCTCATGGGAAAATTGGAGGATTGTGGGCTTAACTGCTAGACAGGTGGGTAGGAAGCTGGCTGTGGGGTAGGACCCAGAGAATTCTAATGAATGGATCTGTTTTATCCTGGTGACAAGTGGCCAGTGGTGTCCTTTAGGGGTTTGTGGTTGGTCCAGTGCTTTTCAACATCTTTATCAATGATTTGGATGTGGGGGTGAAGAGCTCACTGGCAAGTTCGTAGACAACACCAAGTTATGGGGAGGTGTGGTCATGCAGGAAGCTAGGCTGCAGATACAGGCAGGCTTGGACAGGGTAGCAAGTTGGGCAGATCTGAGCCAGATGAAGTTCAACATTGAGAAGTGTAAAGTGCTCCATCTTGGGACTAACAATCCCCAACGTACTTACAGGCTCGGTGGTGCCACCACAACTGAAAGGGACGCAGGGCAGCAGAGCAAACCAGTACTTTGGCATGCATCAACCGATGTATCTCGACCAAAACCAAGGAAATGATTCTTCCACTTTACTCAGCATTGGTGAAACTGCAGCTGGAGTACCGTGTCCAGTTCTGGGCACTGCACTTCAACAAGGACATGAAAAAGCTTGAGAGAGTCCAGAGAAGAGGCACCCATATGATCAGAAACTTGCAAGGCAAGCCATACAAGGATAGGCTGAGGGACCTGGGGTGCTTAGCCTAAAAAAGAAAACGGTGAGAGGGGACTTGGTAGTAGCTTACTGCTACATCAGGGGAATACATCAAGGGCTCAGCGAACAACTGTTCACCAGGGCACCCTTGGGGGGAACCAAGAGTAATGGCCACAAACTCTTGGAAGACCATTTCAGGCTTAACACTAGGAAAAACTTCTTCATTTAGGGTGTCCAGACTAGAATAAGCTCCCTCTAGAGGTGGTGCAGTCATCTACCCTGGAAATTTTCAAGAGGGGACCTGGATGGTTGCTCGCTGGGGGTCTCCTGACCCCAGTTGTCTTTCCTGCCTAGTGTAGGGGGGCTGAACCCGATGATCTTGCAAGCTCCCTTCCAGCCCCTCATAATGATGAAACAGTCCTACCTCTACTAACTCCTCTCCTAACTATGCTGTCTGTGTCACTGATGCCATCTCTTTCCTTCCATACCTCCTAGGATAAGTACAGACTGTCAAAAAGCCCGAGACTGAATTGATTTCAATCTTTGCAGGTTAGTCTAAGCTGCATAGATTGAACTGATAAGCATTAGAGGTGCACTGATACATTGGTCCCATATCAGATTGACACCGATATAAGGAAAATTGACTATTGGCAACCGGCTGTTTATTGGCTGATGTGGCCAATAAATGCCTTAGGTATGCGCAGCTGCAGCGCAGGACGCAGGCGGCCAGGAGTGCAGCCCAGCAACATGGAAAGCAGCTGGGTCTAGCCGGTAAGTCTGTTGTGAGGGAAGGGGTATGTGGCAGGGGGCAGATTGCGGCCCCAGGAGTGAAGGAGGGAGTGAGTGGAGCAGGGGCAAGGGCAAGCACTGCATAGCTGAAGCAGAGCTGGGGACCAAGCCGTGAGCAGCTTGTCTGGTGGGGGCTAGGTAATTGTCAAGCCTTCTCTTAAAGACCCCAAGGTAGGAGCCAGCACCACTTCCCTTGGAAGTCGCTTCCAGATTCTAGCTGCCCTGACTGAAATAGTGTCTTCTAATGTCCAGCCTGAACCTACTCTCAAACAACTTATGGCTGTTATTCCTTGTTACTCCGGGAGGTTCATAGATTCATAGATGCTAGGGTCGGAAGGGACCTCAGTAGATTCATAGATGTTAGGGTCAGAAGGGACCTCAATAGATCATCGAGTCCGACCCCCTGCATAAGCAGGAACGAGTGCTGGGTCTAGATGACCCCAGCTAGATCCTCATCTAACCTCCTCTTGAAGACCCCCAGGGTAGGGGAGAGCACCACCTTCCTTGGGAGCCCGTTCCAGACCTTGGCCACTCTAACTGTGAAGAAGTTCTTCCTAATGTCCAATCTAAAAGGCTGAAAAGGTCCAGTTTCTCTAGTCTCTCCTCGTAGGGCTTGGTCTGTAGGCCCATAACCATATGAGTGGCCCTTCTCTGGACCCTCTCCAGGTTATCCGCATCCTTCTTGAAGTGTGGCACCCAGAATTGCACGCAGTACTCCAA